TCAAAGTATGCCATGTTTTGCAAAAATATTTCAAAAGATATCTTCATGAAGGCCTTGGAGGAGGATCAGAGGCTCGTCTTCTGGTAACTGCTGAGATATTTTACTGAAAATTTGCAAGAAAGTCAGCGGGTCACTAAAATAGATCAAGATTAATACTCAGGATTATGAATACTTCAGAATCTTTTGACAATCTGTCCAGTAAATGAAATGAATGCTGATTTTCTGTTGTAGCTGTTGGGTTATAACAATCCCCATTCTCTGTGAAGTTCAGGACCTTTCCTAAAGACACACCCCGCCTCTGGCTAACAAATGTAAGGTTACTCTTACACCCGTTGTTCAGCACTAACAGGAAAGGGAGGATAACACCCTGCTGTTTCAGTTTTTTATAACTCACCACATCCTTCCTCAACTGACAGTTTCAAGGCCTGGAACAGTGCCACAAAAACCTACGAGCGAATTATTGTCCAGACCTGGTACATACAGAAGGTCAAAACACTAAAATATTATTTTTGTTCAGTTGAAGTCATCACGGAGCGTGTGCAGGCAGTCAGCCGGGAACTGCGACCTGCCCGAGTTCTGCACCGGACTGTCGTCGGATTGTCCCGAAGACAGCTTCGAGATGAACGGCAAGCCCTGCTACAAAACGCTCCAGGGCAGCGGCACTGTCCAGGGATACTGCTACAACGGCCAGTGTCCCACCCGGGAGCATCACTGCTGGAGGCTTTTTGGACCAGGTACGCTCAGCATGCTGCTATCGAAGACATCAGCTGCTGGTTTGAGAAGTCCCAGTTTGAGGCTCTTTTGCTTTCTTGGCTGATATCTGCACGCTCAGTTAGAAAGGTGCACCTCAGGGTTTGTATATAAAAATGTGACTTTGGTTTTTGGCTGTGCATTTTGAAGCCTCGCTGACCATATTCAGACGCGAGGATGGAGCACGAGGTTATCACCTGGTGGTTAGCAAGCTGCACAGCTTGTGATTCCATTAAAAAAAGGCCCGAAAGGCTCCAACAGCACAGACACAGAGAACAGGTTGAGCTCAGTGGCTCGGGTTAGTGTAGTTGAGCTCTAACAGGCTGCCTGTGAACCAAAGCACCACACCGCTGACTCTGAGGCTTAACAGCATCCTAATAAATGAGTTATTTAAAAATAATCAACCAGCCTGCAGCTGTTACACCGAAACATGCAAAAATGCTCCAGTAAAGTTGGACATTTTAACAAGGGAAGTCTTTGGGAACTGACTGGCTTTTGGAGCCTCAAGTGGCCATGAGGGGAACTGCAGGCCTTAGCTTGTCCCCCACCCTCCGGGTTACTTCTTGGTTCATTTAGAGGGATAAATCAGCACTGTTTTGAGTAGATGAGATAAGCCTCAAGAAGCTTTTAGCCATTGGTCTACAAACATTTAGATTTTACTGTCATGTGGTGGAAATAACTTTAAGAAATCTGTCCAAATAAATATTAAATACATTTTGTTACGTAAGCGACTGCAAAGAAAGTCTCATAAGAGGTTTGTAAATACAGTCCATTGATAAAAGGCAAGACTAACACATTAAATCAGTACTTTTCTGGCCATTTTGATGAGTTCAGCAGCGTGCAGTTAAGGCGCCTCGTCACTTTAGTTATATTTAACTCTGACATCTATCCCACTCTGGCATCTCTGGACGCTTAAAATTTAAAAATGCTGCTGAACCCATGTGCTCGGAGGTGCATTAGTATAGCAGACGTAAGGATGCAGAGTCTCAGACCTACACTAAATGACAGATTAACACGAAGCTTTCCTTCTGTGCCTTCTTTTAGGGGCCCAGGTGGCACCAGATTTATGTTTCAACCTGAACCAGCGTGGCGAGGAAGGCGCTAACTGCGGGAAGAACAAATTCGGCTTCATTCGTTGTGCTCCACAGTACGTGTCACCATCCGTCATTCACCCTGAATTCAGAGTGATGAAGTTCCAGCACTGAAAAGAAGCACCGCAAAGCTCTGGGTTAATGCTTTTGTTTTGTGTAGGGATGTTAAGTGCGGATCGATGTTTTGTGAGGAAGGAGGCGAGTCTATCACAGGGAAACGGGCGAGCTACAACACAATGTACGTCAAAGAGTGCAAACTCGCCGTGGACGACGATAAGATGAGAAACCTGGACATGGTGCCGAGTGGCACGAAATGTGCGCCGGATAAGGTAAAACTGTCACAGGGAGACACATCGCAGGACGATTAATTTTCTTTTGAATATTTTGGCCGTTTTACTCAGAATCAAACGTTTGTGCTCAGGTTTGCCTCAATAACAGATGTGTGGATGTGTCAGCCTACGGGAAGAGGGAGGACTGTGCAAAGAAGTGCAACAACAACGGGGTAAGTTCAAAATCAGAGAACTAACCGTAATCGTCACACCATTAAACATGAACCTTCACCTCACCTGAAACAACATCTGGTGTTAAACTGAACCCGAGCCCCATGTTTGCCCTGAGTTTAGTCTGTCAGGCGACATACAGGCAGCCATAAACTTAGATGTAATAATGAGGGATGTAGAAGAAACAGCAGAGAGCAGACGGGGCAGGAACAATAGCAGCATCAGAGCCAAAAATTATTAAAAAAGAGATGAAAAAGCAGCGAGAGAGAAAGAAAGAGCTGTTATTACCAAATAAGTCAAACTAAAAGTGGTGCTAGGTATGAGAAAAGAGATGAGGAATGCACTGTTTATGTTGTTGTAGCCATCACAGCAGACTAAAACTGGAGAAATGCAGCTAGTCTCGAGGAATGTAACAGCCTCCTAACGACGGGGGAAGAAACTATAAATGACTTTAAACAATGACTGAATAAAATGAAGAAACGATCAGATAAAAAACTGCAAACGCCTTTCAAACCAGTCGCGTTGAACTTGAGCTCCACTTCCACGACTCGTGTTTTTAATCATTTAACTGCTTTTTATCCACAGGTGTGTAATCACAGGAACGAGTGCCACTGTAACCCCGGCTGGGCTCCTCCCAAATGCAACGTCCAGTACGCGGATTTACCTCAAGGTACAGACGCTGCGGTGCATTTAACGTTCACGATAAACTATGAAGCACGACGTTTAGAGACGTTCAGCTGCTGTTGTAAAGACTTTCAGATGAAAACAGGTCACAGCTGCTTGTTGAATCATTTTCCCAGTGAATAAGAAACATGAGTGATTCATTATGAGAGCCTCCCAGCACTGACCCCGTTTGCTCCAATTTAGTTTCAACACTCTTTTGTAGAAGACTTGGTTGTCTCTGCTTCATGTGCAGAAATACATTCTGCACATGAAGCTTGAAATTGTGTTGCGCCTCATGATTGTGCAACTTTCTGTCCACATAGTACCAAAGAAAAGGGGAAGAAGAGACTCTAAAACACACTTTCCTCTGAACAAAACAAAGACTTTAGTGAAACTAAAGCCAATTAAGAAAATACGAGGATGACATAACTTCCTCTGAACACTGCTCTTGTTGTTTGTGTGGAAAATTCCTTTTACATAACATTTTCATGTTGCTCTTAGAAAATAACATTTTCAGATTTGATGGTCTAATCATTCTGCAAAATCAGAAGCTGGTAAGTTGTTAAAACGGGAAAAAGAAGCTTCGTATTGAGTTTTTAGCCACAGTTCAAGAGCTCCCTCACGATTTAATTGTAAAATTTAAACTAAAATCTTCATTTTTATTTGTTACTTAAAAGCTGTGATCAGAAAATTTTGCTCCTGAGGACAAAGAAAAAGCAAAAACCGCGACTGATTTAAATTTAGCTTTTAGATCATCTTCAATCGCTTCTTCCAGCATGGCTGCCGTTTGTAAAACGCTCCGTGGAAATCCTGCTCCGACCACTTTCAGGAGCTCTTTTGTGATTTCACCCTGGGCCACAAACTGTTCGTGTCGAGGATCATTGTTACTCAGGAGAGCTGGGAGCAAACAGCTGTTTTCAGAGAGCAAGTCAAAACCTGAAGGTCGGTACTGCGACCCGAGTGTGGTCGCTGTGGTCGTTCAACATGAAGTTCTGCAGTAATGAAATGAGGGGATTAGGATTCCTGCATCCTCATTCAACCATTCAAGCAACCGACATGAAGCCCAGACTAAATATTTACCTACTGAACGAGCCAAAGAAAAGCACGAGTTCAAGTGGAGAGATCAGGACTTAGACGGGGCAAAGACACACAACATAGTGCAGTGGTTTGGTGCAGTCACCTAACTAGCAAAAGATCCATGGTTTGACCCCGGGAGCAGAAACGGATGCCTTTGGGAATCTATCTGGAACAGCATCCGGTGTAAAACCACACGAGATACCCACTGGTGAGGAAGGGAGCAGCCCAAAGTAGCTGGAGAAGTTGGTCCAGAGTGCACAAGGAGCCGACCTTGAAGGGAAGATCGGACAAATGTAAATCGGGTCTGGTTTTTGCTTTTAACAAGAGCTGTAGCAGAACTTTAAGACCCTTTGTTGGAGCTTAAATTAAAGTTAAACTGAATAAAATGAAAACGTGACCCAGTTTTATTGCTCAGAAGGTGACCAGATGTCATCATCTGACTCAATGACTCCAGGATTGGCTAACAGTTTACAGAGAGAGTCAATATGAGCCAAAGTCTCTGAGGGACGTTTCCAGCACCTTGTTGAATCTATGCAATGAAGGACTAACGCAGTTCTGAAGGCAACAGGAAGTCCGAACCGGTGCTAGGAAAGTGTACCTAACAAAGCCTCCACTGAGGGAAGAGTGTTAATGTTGTTCAGAATTTAATTGCACTTAGACATAAAGAGTGCAAAAAAAAGACGCATCAGTACTTAAGTGCAGTTTTCCGTTTCCTCTGCCTGCAGATCAGGTTGGGCTGATAGCCGGTGTGTGCGCAGCAGTCTCCATCCTGCTGGTTGTCACTCTGCTGATTGCTGGGCTGATGTGCTGTAAGAAGGACGACATGGAGCGCTACATCGCTACAAGGTAGTTTTCCCCCTCTGCGGTCTGGACTCTTCATCTTTTCCTTCTTCTTCCCGGCTAAATAAATAAATGTTGTCTTCACAGGAAAGTGCATTCAGCTGGAGGGAAGCTGAACCCGTCGTTCCAAGAAGGAAGTGGTAAAGAAAGACCTCAGATCAGTCAGCCCACCTTCATGGAGACCACAGCGAAACAGGCCTGCACCCCTCTGATGGGTCGAGTGACCCCCTGCAGACCCGCCCCACAGGTACGCCGAGCAGCCAGGTGCATGCAGGTCTCGGTTTTACTGTGAAATGCTGACAAACCGCTTTTTGTTTTCCAGCCACCGCTGAAACCGTCGTCGTCGTCAGTCACGTCGGAAACTGAGCCGGTAAGACTTTTGTTTTTAAAGACATAATGCAAAATGAAGATCGCAGCAACTTGAGCGTCTATTAAAGCTTAAAAATGAAACTATGTTAAATAACATCCATAAAGGAGACCTTTCCTTACTTTCTGCCCTGTGTAATATTATAATGAGATCACCGTGGTTACAAGCTAAAAGCTCAGGCTTCATTTTTTTTGTGACTCATTACCTCACTCAATCTTATCTTTATGAGGGGCAGCCAATCAGAAGAAACTGTCAGCTGTTTCTTTGCTGGTATCGTTTAGACTGAGCCCAGCTTTAAACTCAGCTTTTTTGGACGTAGTTTAGTCTACAGTGTTGAGCTGTTTAATGAAAACAGCTTAGGATTGTTGATTTTTGCAGACTTTACTGGAACAGCCAGTCACAGAGGACTGATAAACATCAGTGTAGCTCTGTGGCTTTATGAAATAATGTCATTGTTGATTTTTGGTTTCCGTGTGATCAAACTTGGACTTTAATGTTCATTAGGAGCCTGTAAAGTGTCAACATCTGCTCTAAATCCCAGTTAAATAACCGTCTTCTTCCTTTTCACCACAGATGAAACCTCTACCTCCATCTAAACCTTTACCGCCTCTGAATAAAACACAGGTGAGCGCCAAAGCTTTTCCCCAGGACTTTATATAAAAGTCACTCGTGTTTTATTTATTTTCATTGATTCATTCATATTTAGATGTTCTTTCTTTGCTTTCTACCTGTTTAAAGCATTTCCCTTCTGGGGATCAATAGGGATCAACTGGTCTGCCCAAACATTTAATGCTCATTTTCCAGCTCTACGTTTTATATTTTTGGACTTACTCGAGTAGCTTTGCATGATTCACAACTCAAAACAATCCTTATGCATGTCACACTGGGCCTTCGTGAAGCTAGAGCTCATCAGCTGTCTCAAACAAACCCATTGGGTGCCTCTTTAAAAACAGAGAGTTGGAGTACATGACAATATAAGGGATCTCCATGACATCATGCAGAGCCATCATTATTTGAAACTTTAGTTTAACATGAGCATCCACCCCGATGACAGGAAGCAGTGTTGAGATGCATAAGTTGCTAATTTACTTTCATAAATTCACCTAAAAATCA